CTGGGCCTCTAGTCCAGTATAATGAAATCGAGTGTTTTGTATGTGCCAGGCAAGGTGCTGCATTTTGGGGATACTGTGATTGACCTTGGCTTACCTAGAACTAACAGACTGGAAAAAAAAAACAGTAATTAAAATAAGTTAGTTTTTTATTATACATTATGAGATGATGTATAAAAAACTCTTGTATAACTCCTGACCTATAGTGAGCTTTCAATCATGGATCACTTTATGTTATTGGTACTTTTCTTCAGTTAAAATTTTTTAAAAGTAAAAGAACAAACAAAACAAACACTACATTTTATTTTCCTAAATAATGAATAAACTCTGAGCAGATCTCTGAGATTTTAGCATCTATAATAATAAAAGTGTAATATGCTAATTAGACCAGATAGCCAAACTATCTTCTGGACATCCTCCCGGACGTACTTCCAGATGTCTGTCCGGATGAAGCCTTGGCAGCGGGGGCCAAAGCAGAGGCAGTTAGGAGTGATCAGGCAGGCATGCAGAGTGGTTAGGGACAATCAGGCAGGCTGAGGAGTGGTTAGGGCTGATGAAGCAGTCAGATAGAGTGGTTAGGGGTGATCTGTCAGGCAGGCAGGCAATTGGTCAATTGGTTAGGAGTCAGCTGTCCCAGATTGCAAGAGGGATGTCCGACTGCCAATTTAGGACTGATCCACAGTTGGACATCCCCTGAGGGGTCCTGGATTGCGAGAGGGTGCAGGCTTGGATGAGTGTCACCCTCACCCCCACCCCAGCACATGAATTTTGTGCACGGGGCATCTAGTAAGCAATATAAAATTCTAGGAGGCATCAGGATGCTAAATGTACATGTAAAGCCAGTCTCATGGTATCCTAGATGAGGACAGGTAGGCAATAGCTGATAGTGAAGAATTGCAGAGGCTTTTTTTTTTAATTGCAAAGGGTATTACATATGTGTCTGTTTTTTCCTCCCGCCCTAGACAGTCCCCTAGCCTCCCCTATCCCCCAGTGTCTTATGTCCATTGGTTATGCTTATATGCATGCATACAAGTCCTTTGGTTGATCTCTTACCCCGCTACCTCCTGCCCCCCAACCCTCCCTGGCCTTCCCGCTGCAGTTTGACAATCTGTTTGAGGCAGCTCTGCCTCTGTATCTATTATTGTTCAAAAGTTTATAAAGGTTGACTTTAAAAGTTTTAAGAGATTTTAAAAGTCTCTAAAAGACGTGAATTTCAGAAAAGGCCCGGAAAGCCTACAAAAACCATATGGCACATCTAAAACCTCAATTCTGTCAATGTAAGAAAAGTCCAAACCTGTAAAGATTTTTATGAGTTTATTTGATTAAAAAAGGATCAAAAACAAAAAGTACAACAAAAGAGAAAAAAATGCGTTTAT